CAGTGTAAGATTATGTCATGCAGTATAAGTTACGGTACAGGGTGCATTCTCCAGATAAAATTACAAGAGCGAGCTGAAGTTTTATTGGAAGTCAGGAATGTTAAAAAGGCAAAAATACAAAAAGACTGGATTAACTGGCCACCACCATTAAATTTGTGTTGCCAACAGTAAACCTATACCATGTGATCATTTTTTTTTAAATGGGTTTTTTATTCTCTAAGTCTATCAGTACAAAAAAATCCCCTGGTTTTGTACTACAGCTGCCTTATAAACATGAATTAAAATGATGAAAATGTACCAGAGTGCCATACAATCTTATATAATTCAATTTGAACACAGTTATGATGTGGGTTTACTCTCCTTTTCTTGCTTAAAACTTGAGTATGTTCCTCTTAAGGAGGGAAAAGGTATTTTGGCATTAATTCAGTGACAACATACCAAGTACATGAGGACCAGGAGGGCGTTTTGGACAGAACATGAGGCAAGTGATCTGGCATCCAGACATTTAGCAACGAAACAAGAAGACAGAGTCTACTTCATCATTTCCAGAAGAGAAAGACATTGTGGGAGGGATCACAATATCATGGCCTTTCCAAATGACTGGTTCTTCTCTTCCATTAAAATGCTTTATTCCTTGTGTGTGATTCCCTTTAAGCCCTAAATGTGAATTCAGTACCAGCTGGAACAATTCAAATTACAATGTCCCAGTATGATTGAACCTAGGACCTGAAGGAACAATGAGATATTATAAAAACATGAGAGAACTTAACAAATCTGAAGCCTCATTTAGCAGCATTGTATCATGAAAACCTGACATTTTAACATTTCTTTCTCTGGTTCGAGTCAGTATTTTGTGGTGTATCTTATATATAACAGCCTTTGCAAAGCAACTATTACAAAATTATTTTGTTCGGTCAAACTTTGCACTAGAAACTTTGCATCAATGGAAGTTCACCATATAAAAATCACAGAAATCCTGTGCCAGATGGCTTTTGACTGGGTCATCCAAAACATATTTTGGAGGTTGGTATGCCCTGCAGACATAATGAATTCCTGAAAGAATTTTAAATAAATACAAATCTGTATACAATGATACTTGTAGTGCATAGCCAAGCAAATAAATCTTGTATCACTTGGGTTTATAAACAAGATGAAAAAAAAGTATTAATTTGTCCCACATTCCATGTGGTTTCCATAAGGTCAATGCTAACAAGCCAAAATGTAAAAGAGAAAGAGAGCCTTTGATTGGTCGTAATGCTCCAAGGCTTTTGCATCATTGTAAGTGTACCTCTTTATTTCCAGATCATATGCAAACTCACACTGATTTAATATGTATGGTCCACATAAAACACTATATTAAAAAAATAAATAAATTACTGAGCTACCTAGTAGAACACTTGAAATCTGCTCTATGTCAGAAGTGAACGTGCCCATGCAACTTTAACTCAATTCCCTTCGCGCACAGGCATTAGAATATACTTCTTAATCACAGGATTGTTTAACCTTTTCACCACAGGATTCCCACCTCATCCACTAAGCAGAATTAAAAATGATTACTTACAAGTTATTTTAGCAACATTGCCTGGTTTATGTTCTTATTTAATGCAGTTTTCAAACTCTGCTGTCCTACCACATTTTAATTTATAAGAAAAAAAAAGTATAGTAAAGCTGCTGTCTTGATGCCACTGCCTGCGTGGATCTGATTTAAAGCACTGAACCCATCAAGACTTCTTTTCCACTTTTGTTGAGGGAGGGGTTGGTTTGGTGGTGGCAGAGGTTTGCTGGCTTGGTATTATTTCCTAGCGAGGCAGGTTTTTTGGCAGTAAACGTAAGGCACTGCATACCGTGAAGACTAGCAATCTGCAATGTGAAAGCTCAAACATGAAAACATTTATTTCCAGTGTTTGTTAATTTAAGTCTGAGTTTGTCTTAGCCATTTAATTTCTGGGGTTTTTAGGGGGTTTGGGGTTTTTTTGTTGTTTTGTTGGGTTTTTTTTTTTTTTTTTAATTGTCCTTGCATTACTAAGGGGTGCATTATTTATGTGCTGTTAGTTCAGCTCATATCTGTGGATATGACATCTCTAGATACTAATGGCTAGAAATGTGACACTGCGCATGATTTTTCAATTGAAGTTAAAGGAACTGTGACGATTAGAAATAGTGGATGCCAATTCTATTAGCAGTCATTACATCATAATATTTTAAATAATGTGGTTATTTCAAATAATCAACAACAAAGTCTATGCCAGCAATGTACTCTATTTGTAATGCTTACACAGTCTAAGCATTTGAAAACAAGGAAATTAAGAACATAAATATGCTATGCAACCTACATAGACATCACAGAAGACAGCAGCCACAAAAAAGCTAATGAGCATTTTACCGAGTACGCTGAAGTCAAAGTCTACACATACCATGAAAATGTATTTCTTTACTATCTACAACAACCTTACACTGATTTTTTTTGACATTTTTATGCAACTATTAACTGTTCTCTTTAATAGAAGGCTTCTAGCAATAACTGTTACTAGTTGAAGTAGTAATATTTTGTTGAAGTAGTAATAAAGGCACAGTTTAATAAGACAGTAGCACGTTTATGGCATATTTCTTATGTGTAATATAGTTTTTATTTTAAATGAATCAGTGCAAGTCCCAGCTTTGCAATACCTTTGGAAAACTTTTAAAAGCACTTAGTTTCTATTTAGTCACCTAAATATGTCTTAAAAGCCTGTCAGGATCCTAGTCTGAACTCCAGTGAGGATGACTCCCTTGAGCAAACTTGCAATCTCAATTTTGACTTTCTCACACCCACTTCTGAGCCCTGCACATAGCATACTGAGACACATCCAAAGTTACGTGACTGAAGCCAGAAATGAAGAACTATTTCCAAAGATAGTCAAACTTGATAACATTTAACCCAGCGTCAGATGACGTCTTGTCTGCTGGCTAGCCAATAATCACAAATCACTCCCTACTATGACCAAAAGTAACTTCTAATGAGTAAGGTAACCTTGAAACTGCACCGGAACGGGCTTCTTAACACTGGTGTTTCCCACTATTCTGAACTGGACACATATTGCAAACTCTACTAATCTAACGTAGCAACTGAATCCTTTTTGAGAAGATAAGCAGAACAACTTTCTTCCCAAAACGCTGATTTTGCAGAGCAGGTCTGCGTAATCTAATAGTGGGCTACTTTAAAGGGTGAAATTAAACTGTGCTACCGTAACCCCTAGCAGTAGAAAGAACTCGTCGGCAGTTGATTTCTGAAAAAAATCCCAATGCTACGTAACCTGACTCTGCTTAGGGAGGACAGGATACACTTCTGAGAGCACACTCAAAATTACATAGTCTTCAGGCATTGTTGGCACACCATTATCAGAAGGCTACAGGCCAGCAGCTTTTAAACCTTAGCAGCCAGATTTTTCTATCAAACATCAGGTGCCTGCTGTGAAAGCCTTGGCCTGTGACCTAGAAGTGACTGTTCAGGCTAAGGGCACGGTGTGAGAAATGTTAACACGAAATCCAACCTTGGGATCTGCAAGTTATTGACAAAGAATTTATTTATGAATCAGACTGTGCATCTGACATGAGTAAAAGCTATAAGTGTAGTTAACCATCTTGCACTTTAGAAGCACTTTGTAGCATCAATCTACACAATTACTCATGTGCTAAGAACTGCTTGGATATGGCGAAATACCGATACACGATACTGTAGCAAATCACAAAACGCGTATGTGGGCCAAAAGAGCTTGTTTGTGAGAACAATGTGAAATGATTCCAACGCATGTCGAATTACTATCTCACCTGCTGCAGATGACAGAGGGGCTGATAATAGGGTCTGACAGGCTAGGTGCACTCTGAGTAGAAGTTAATACTTTGTGTGGCTTTAAGCCTTGCTTGGCATCAGTATCTGTAGAGTCTGGAAATGACACAGAAGATGTTTTTCCGGTAGGACTGGTGGCAGGCGTCCCCTGAATCGGTGAATGACATGGGGAGTTGAGAGGTGAAATATTTGGCGGGATACCTGGCACGAGAAAAGAAGAGTCTTGTCAATTAACAGAAGTGGCAGATGGTTGTATGAGTTCACTGTGCAGAAATACTCCTCTTGAGATGCACAGGTACCAGCATAGTTTCCAAACGTAAAAATAAGAGAAAACCCTCCTCCACTCTGAGCCAAGCCCACGGCTGTCACAGAGAGATGAAGCTCCATTAATATCAGCCACTTCTACCTGCTGAAGATCTGGCTCAAAATATGAAGCATATTCTCCCTGTTGAGCAGGATGCACTAACTGGCAGGCATGAAATGAAAGGCGTGCGTTAGTGGCATGACTATTGGTATCAACATGTTCTAGCGACAGAGATACCAAACTCCAAATAGGCAGTTCCCAGACCCATCTGCAGTTTCTCTTTGTTTCACTGTCTCCATCTGTGAAGCAGGGACAAGAAAGGCTTACACACATCCCCAGAAAATTTGAATTTCTACATGTGTGAAGACTAGCAATAAACTAAAACCCCAATTTTTGGTAGCCTTACATTATATGAATATAAAATATTGCACTTATGGTGCCATTTCTGCATTCCTCACAGATTTTGGCCTTGATCTCATGCAGCTGGAGTTTACTTTTCAATATTTGTTGCTTACGATTGGAGACTTGTGACCATTACCTGTACCACATGGTATTATACCCCTGAGATAGTGTATCAGAAACTGCCAATGTCCACATGTGCGAACACTAGCATAGACGTAGTTCTCACTGTCCCTTATTCTATCAAAGCACCACTGCCAAGATGAAATGCATCAGCCAGTCCAGTGTTTGAGACAAAGTGCCCCCCTTCTTTTTGAAGCCACTTTGCATGTTCTAGTCTCAGACAAAAAGGTCCCATTCACAATAAAGAACAGAGGAGCAAACTTATTCTTAAAAGGAAAGGCATGTAAATTGACTTATCTCCTGTTCTAAAGTTTGTAGGAACTCAGCCCCTGTTCATTTACCATGTTCATCTTCAAAGCCAAATGATATCGAGCTTAGGAACTTTAACTGATTTTATGTTTGAATTGTGCCCACTATCTAAATGCATTCCAGACACAAAAATTATCTTAGAATAAGGCAATATGTTGATCTAAGTTATGAAATACTAACCTTGCACGATAGATGTGTACAGTTCCAGTGGTTTTTCCTGATAACAACTTACTGTGATATGAGGTTAAAATATGATTTACTGCTGACAGTCCAAGAGTTAAAAATAATCTCTGACAGTTACTACACTGTAATTTTGAGATATCCAACCTCTCCTAAGTTTTGATTACAGTATTTGCTCAGCAAACATGTGGTATGTATTACTGTCTTAATTCAATTATTGCAACTAGGATATTATGCTAGTCTTGAGATCAGAAGCCTACAGTCTACAGAGCAATTAAAAAGTTATCAGATGGCCATGACATATGGAAATCACTCTAAAATACAGAAAGCCTCTGTTTCACATTTACTAATCCTTTGAGATATCTGCTTGCCATCCAACAGAAATATGTCTTTAAAACCATTTTGCAGTCTGTTAGTTGCACAGGGGATTGAGTTGGATTATTATCTATCTTTGAGCTATATGTTACCAGGTAATCTTCATGACTGTTGGAGAATACAATATATATGGTCACCTTTCAACAATCTAAAACAAATCCTGGGAATTTAAACAGCAATTTTCACAATAATGTTTCTAATTACAGCTGGCTTTCTACTGCTAGTCTGGGCTCCTGTCTCTTGAAATGTATTTGGTTGAATTTTGTTTTAAAAGAGTAATTTGCCAGGGTAAGTAACAAAAAAGAAATAAATTTACCAGAAAAATACAAACCTATTTTCAATAACCCAACATTTAATCATTTATTGGCAAAAGTGAGAGAAAATGTGTCTTGCTACAGCAAGGAATTTTGAACAATCAAGGTAAGAATAACAATACAGGACGATTTTTTTTTTTAAGTACACCCATCTGCTTAGGCCCTCCAGAACTTTTACACATGTGCGGTGTTGAAGAAATAAAACTGTAACTTCAATGTGATGTGAAATTACATATGAAAACACTGGAGTTTACCTCAGAATTTTGCCAAAATAGGTATAGCTAACAGTATTTAAAAATGCTAATGTTTTTATGCACAGAGACAATTTTTTAAATTATTATTATTATTATTATATATTGCAATTATATATTAATATTATATATTGCCAATGGAGCTAATACATAAAAGTCTAACTTGCAACTACTAGTGCAAATTGAAGCAATTCTTTAGTTGGAACACAAAACCAAATCATAATTAAAAATGCATGATTGTAAACAGTCTAAAACATCAAAATATCAATCTTCTGCATAAAATGCTGAGCCAGAATTTTTACTCCTGTCAATCAGTGCCTCTAGGACTTGTTTGCGATGGAATGGAACTCTCCCTTCATCACAGGGGAGCTCATGTATTTGCGCAACAGAGACAACTATTAGCACCTTCTGGAAGCCGAAGAGACTAAATGTAAAATTGACGGATGGAGTTCGTAAGTCTCATTTTCCAAGTATAAAATAGTATACACACACACACTTACCCCTTTCACGGTAATGGGTTAATCTCTGAAAATCACAAGTCTAAGTTGGTTTTGTTTTGTTCTAAAACAAATTCTTGGATTCTTAGTATTATTTTCCAGGTTCAATTTTATTCATTTGTCTACGTGCCTGTTACCTTTTAAGATAATATTGTGTTACTTAATCTTCACTATAGTATAACAAAGCAGCTTCTGTACAAGAGGAGACTCAATAAACTCTTCAGTTTGAAAAGGAGATGCAATATGACAGTGCTAGATATGCAGAAGAATTGTGCAGCCATATCTTCAAACCCATCTCTAAGTTGGGATTCTCTGACTTTTCTGATGTCAGGCCTCAGGCATCTATCAATTTCCATCTGATGTCTGGGTGGCCAGTATCTCTGAGTAACATTAGCTCAACATTATTCCATGTTTGGAAAAAAAAATGGGCCGATTCAAAAAAGGAAGGCCTTGTGATCATTTTGAATTGCAAGTTAAAGCATGGGTAAACATTACTTTATCCTGCAGTTGTATAGGGAAGAGAACCATGTTAATGTAGATTAAGACTGCTTCATGGCTGTCATATCGCACATTTCATTACCACTTAAGAAGTCACCTCCTCAATTTCTTTCCCTCAGTTAAAAAAGGAGTAATTTTTAAAGGCACAAAAAGCTGAGTAAAAAGGCCCATATTTTTCATCTCTAAAAATCAGTAAAAACTACTTGGACTTTCACAATAATGAATATACAGAGATAGACCTCTGAGTTACAACGGCTTTGTCCTGGATACATTTGTGTAAGATGGGTCAGTTGCTGCCTACAGCTCCAAATGGCATTATGTAGGTTGTGCTTCAGGAAATCTCAGTCAGGCAATATATACAGACAGTTAATCTAACAAATGTTATAGAAAACACTGTTCTCAGCCCTGTTGTAGTCAAGGGAATTACATGGATATAAATCACAACACAATTTAGTATCACACTTGCCGCATCATGTCATGACTAACCTCTATAAATCATAAAAGTCAAAACATTTACAATGGCATTACTATGAGCTATAGCATTTTAAACCACTGCTTTTTTAAAGAAAAGAAATAACTGTATTTATATTGAAGGAAAAATAATAAAAGACAGATTGGACAGAGATCAAAAGCAGCTTGCACGCGCTAGTCACGGGGAGGCAGCTAAGTGAGCCTGATGGAACCACAGATGCCCACTCACCTTGCCGGCTCTGCCTTTTGGCATTCAGGTGGTTGGTAGAAGACATGGCATAGGAGGTGGAGAAGGACCTGCTCTTTGTGATTGTCATCAGAATTGAGCTGTTCCAGGAGTCAGGGCTGCAAAACCAGAGCACAAACAGGCATTGTTTGACACACTAAAAAGCATCAATGGCAGATCTTAAGAAGTTAAGAGCCACAGCAAGAAGTATGCGATACTGAGATAGCACGAAATCTGACAAGGAAAATGGCATCTATCTGTTGGCTGAACTGCTGTTTGTGAGGTGCTCAGTGTTGTATTCAGCAAAAATATTTACAATGCAGATGCTCCAAAGCTGAACTTCCTTCAGTGTTGAGGCCTATTCACTTTATTTGTACAAAGATATCTTCATTGGATTGTTCTGACAGTACAAAGAGGCTTAAAAGTTGACTTGAAATAAGTTAAATTTATATACTTTTTTAATGCCTTCTTACAAGAGCCAGAAGAGCCGGGAGTTCTCAGTGTAAATGAAAAGTCTGTCTCTTTGACTCCTCTGCTGCCAAGGCAGATACCCAGTAACCCTTTGGGAGGCTGGAGGA